ACTTAGAGCTATAATACAAACTTGTGATGACCCACATCTCCCTCCACTAAGACGTCATGATGGCATCTAGTATCTACGACTAGGTAAGCCTAACCAATTGCTGAAATAACAAAAATTGAAGTAAACACTTAATAGCTAACTGCAATAGATAATTAAATAACTGATAACAATGCCCCTCGGCATGTACAATAACCAACACTTTATTAATACACAATATTTTCCCAATATCCGGAACATTATAAGTCACAAGCTACAGAAGAAAAACTAGTATCTCTATACACCAAAGTCTAAGAAAAGAAGTACGGAAGGTAAATAATATATGAGGGAATAGAGGGGGATTCTGAGGTCTGCGGACGCGGTAGATATACCTTAAAGTCTCCAAACTGTCACTGCTCACTGATGACATGGCTGATAAGAAGTAGCTGGATTTGCACATAAAACATGTACAGAAGAGTAACAGGAGTACACCACAACGGTACCTAGTAAGTGCCAAGCCTAACCTCGATCGAGTAGTTACGAGGTCAGGTCAGGGCCCACTGGTATATAATAAATAAAGCAGAAGAATATAGCAATATAATAAGAGATTGGAAATTAACAAAGAGGAAAGCACATCAAATTAACAGTACAACACATAGGGATAACACAATAGGGGATTGCCCGAGATACCGTCTCGTAGTCCCAAAAATATAGATACAAGGAGATCTCCCGAGGTACTGCCTCGTAGTCTCAAAAGTAAATGTGCAGTGAGATCTCCCGAGGCACCACCTCGTAGTCTAAAAAGTAAAGGTGTAGGGGGATCTCCCGATGTACCATCTCGTAGTCTATAAAAGTAAACACATAGCTCAAGCCGCTAAATGCAATAATTAACAGCAATAGTTCTACAATTAAGATTGATACAAGTTAAGAAAAGACAGGAAATCAACTAGTCATGCTGCACAGAGTTCAAATAAGCAGTTAAAGCACGTAGACATGTGATGTTAAACTATACAACATAACTACACTTGCTAGTATAACTCAATTATGATGAAAACAACTTACTACTTAGTAAAAATTGGATTTTTACAATAACTAGCCTGTGTACGAACTCGTCAGCTAGCGTATACAACACTCACATAACACAACAGTACCAAATCCTTAGGGGATTTTCCCCACACAAGTTTATGCAAGCCACTTACCTCAAACCATGCTAAATCAATCAATAAGAATACCTTTTCCATGATTTTCTGACTCCGAATGGCCCAAATCTAACTAAAAGCAATTACATACCATAAATATAACTATAAGAAACTAATATAATTAATGAAATCAAGGCTTTAGCAAAAACTTAAAAAATCACCCCAAAAAGTCAACCCATGCCCACTTCTCGGAATTGGATAAAAGTGACAAAAATCCGAATAACCATTTGACCACGAGTTCAACCATACCAAAATTAGTCAAATCCAATTAGAACTCGACCTTTAAATCCCCAAATTATAGTTTATGAAGTTTCTACAATTTTTCCCAAATTTTCATCTCAAAGTACTAATTAAATGATGAAACCAATGATATATTCATGTATATTAACCAAATCCGAGTTAGAATCACTTACCCTGGCAATTTTCTTGAAAAACCCATGAAAAATCGCCACAAACCGAGCTCCCAATGTCCAAATATGAAATAATACCCTAACTCTCATTTATATAGTACACGTTCTTCCCTCCAATGTGCTGACCACACATTTTTTGGTGTGGTCGCACATCCCAGGTTCTGCGGCCGCGATCCAAATTGAGCGGCCGCACTTAAGAAAAATCTGAACTATCAGGCTTTAGTAAATTAGCCTTAACTTTCAGTACAAATGTCCAATTTATTATTTCATTACACTTCTGGAAACTAGACACAAAGGGCTACAAGTTTCGATTTTGAATCATCTCCAAATTCCTTATAGTTTAAAAGATATAAGCTTCCGAAGTTAGACCGTCTAACCTGCAGAATCTCCGATTTGCGGCCGCGAGAAGAATTGTGCGGTCTGCACTTTTCCTCCCAGGTCCGCACTTGAGGCTTTTCCTCAGCACTCCGAAATGTGCCCTTGCACTTCCAAAGGTACCAGAATAACATCATGGTGCCGAAAATGCCCGGACTCGCTCAAAACTCACCCCGAAAAATACCCCAGCCACTCGGGACCTCAACCAAGCATACCTATAAGTCCTAAAATACCATTCGAACTTAGTCGAGCCCTAAAAACACGTCAAACAACAACAAAAACACGAATCACCCTCCAATCAAAACTTAATAAACTTTTAAACTTCAAACTTCTACAACCGACACCGAAACCTATCAAATCAAGTGTGATTGACCTCAAATTTTGCACGCTGGTGATATTCAACATCATTGACCTACTCATTCTGGAATCCGACCCTGATATCAGAAAGTCCACTTCCGATTAAACTTCCCAAAAGTTAAATTTTCACTAATTCAAGCCTAATTCAGCTACAGACCTCCCTAACACAATTCAGACACACTCCTATGTCCAAAATCACCCAACGGAGCTGACGAAACTCCATTCCGGAGTCGTGTTCACATAGTTCCAACTATAGTCAAAATCCTAGAACTCAAGATTCCATTTTAGGGACTAAGTCTCCCATATCACTCCGAAACCAAAAAACAGAACCTCCCGGCAAGTCACCTAAGCAGAAAAGGATACGGGGGAAGTAGTTAATAGGGGATCGAGGCTAATACACTCAAAATGACTGGTTGGGTCGTTACATCGTGCTTGGGCTGAATCGGCCCCTCCGGTGTCTGCACATCCACAACGGGCGTAAATGCTAGTGGTTATTTACATTGGGCTGGATCTGCTCTATTTTATTTGCATTTGGGCTGGATCTGCCTTATTCTCTGTTGAGTTTTATTGAAAAACCTGAAAGCATGTCTAAATTCTTATATCATTACGTGTAAATTATTAATGTATGAGATTTGACTATCATATTTTTTCATAATATTCCAAACTATTGATGCTATATGTAGGCTGTAATGCTCAAACTTGTCACTACTTTCAGTCCAAAGGTTAGATTTATTACTTATTGAGTTGGTTGTACTCATACTACACCCTGCACCTCGTGTGCAGATCAAGGTATTTCCGGTCACGGCGGTTGCTGACTCGCATAGTTCAGACGTTCGGAGATCATCGAGGTAGCTGCTTTGGCATCCGTAGACCTTGACTCTCCTCCCCTACCTTTTAGTTTATTTATTCAGTTCTACTTCCTAGACGGTGTATCGACTTTGTCATTATGTAGATGCTCATGTACTCGGTGACACCCGGTTTTGGGAAAACTTATGTATTGAGTTACGATATTTTATTCCATTTTATGAGATTTTTTATTTATTTAAACTGTTTTGGTATATTCAAAGTTGAATGTATTGGGAATGTCTACGTAGTCGTTTTTCCTAGTACCATGATAGGCGCCATCACGACAGGTTAGGTTTTGGGTCGTGACAGACAGTCCTATCACTAATTCCTTGGAAAATAATTTGTTGAGTTGACTTAGACTTGCATGTCCATGTCTCTTGTGCCAAAGGAGGGGATTATTCTCCAACACACTTAAGCAAGCGAGTTCATTATCTGAAAGTGTGGACAGATCCACCACATATATGTTAATCACTATTTTCCCTACAAAATTATCTTGTCAGTAGTAAGATTTATCACAAAGTATTTTATAGAGGCAAAAGCTACCATGTTACATCTATCACACAGTTGTGATACACTTATTAAGTTATACTTCGGTCCGTCTATCAATGATAACACCTTTCTTTCCATTTCCAAAGGAGATATTACCTCTTTATGGTCCTCAAGTGAAAGGAAATGGTTTTTGCTTCGTGTCATGTGCTTTGAGCAGCCACTGTCCATGTACCATATTTGGCTGCTCTCCTTCACTTGGACCTGTAAAAGAAAATAAGGAGTTAGTCTTAGGAACCCAAACTAGTTTGGATCCCTTTCTATAGGCAAAAAGATAAATCAAATTCTTTTTAGCCCACCTTGGCAACTTATTCTTTCCTAGAACAAATTTTTGTTCCTTTGACTTGTCTTTTCTTTTGCAGTGCATTCACTCTTATAGTGACCAGTGTTACTATAATGTGTGCAAATCTTGCTCTTAGGGAGTGTGAGGTACTTGTTTTTGGGATCCGACTTAGGTGCAGAGTTCCCAAAGTCAAGTCCCCTTTTGTTGCCACTATGGTGTTCTTGTAGCCATGAAAATGCATCAAAAGATATGTTCTATTTACATGTTCTATCTAGCTCGTGCTTAACCTTAGTCAAGTCCTCTTTCAATGTTCTCACCAGTTCATCTCTTTTCTATAGCTTATCTTTTGCCCTTCCTAGATCTTTTTCTAGTGAGAATTGTCGGTCACTGCCTATCTTTTTACCTGTTCCTAACTCTAGATTTTAAGTTTTCACATCTATGTTCTAGAACAGATGCGTCAAGTGCATGTACCTAATTCTTCAACACCGTATTTTCATTTTCAGTCTCACAAGCCCTAACTTTTAGGTTTTTGCACTTTGCTTTCAAGATGACACACTCCTTTTACAATTGTTCCTTTTCATTATTCACATCATCAGACTCATCAATCAATTCTAGCAGTAGTTCAGATAGTCTTTCTTTAGACAGAAATTTAATTTTATCTTTTAATTGAAAGATACTTACCTAAGGATCTTCATCAGATTCTCCAATAGCCATTAGAGCTCGTTCATCATCATCATCATCATCCAAGCTTTTATCTGAACTATATCCCAGGCAGAAATCATAGCCTTGGTTGATTCTTTGTTGTTGTTTTTCTTAGTATGAACTTGTTCCTTCGTCCACCTCTTTCCTTTTTTCACTCAATTTCCCATAAAAGACACACTACAAAAAATTTGATTTTTAACGACCATTCTTAGCAAAGGGACATAAAATCAGTCGTTAATAATTATTAATTAATGAAAAAGTGGTGTTAACTTTTCCAACTTTTTTTTCCCAATCCGCCAAATCTCCCACCTCACCCCCCCAAAAAAAAAAAAATGGAAAAGGCCCTAAGAGTTCGACTTAAACTTCTCTAATAGTTGGTAAACTCTGTTTTGAACGAATTACCAGAGAATTGTGCTACGACAAATTGTAATAATCAGAGTTGGTAAAATTCAGCGAATTAGCAAAAGAAACTGCTCGTCACCTTCATTGACAACAGCTGCTCAGCTTTGAGGTTCTTCTCATCACGGTAAGGTTCAAACTTTTACCCTTTTCTATGTGAATTGAGTAATAATTTCGCTAGAAAAGGCATCTGTTGAGCGATATCTATTTTGAATGAGCAACTGCTATATCTTCTATCATGATTAAATCATCTTCTCTAACAGTTTATTCTGAATGTCAATTTCGTACTATCAGTTTCACTGAGTACCAAGTATAATTGTCGAAATATCGGTTGTCCTAAAATTAAAGTTGATAATTTTTAGTTGTCGTATATATAACTATAGGGTTGTGATCACACTTGTGTGTATATGGATGTTGGTGTTCACTTTGGTGAAAGAATGACACAAAATACAAAAAATGTTTCTATCTATATATTGACTGATTCTACGGTGAGGTCTGCTGGTTAATTGCTTATTTCAATCTGATATATTATTGATTTTCAATCTTGGCCTCTCATCCCTTTTATATTCGATGTCCTGCTTAAATGGAAATTTTTTGTGAAACTTGATTCTTGTTTTAAACTATACAAATTTGATCAGAGATATGGGGTATAAGAATTGGCTAAAGTTATTTGGTAGTATGTCTCTGTTTTCAATCTCAATTGTAGTTCAAAATATCAGTATGAAAGAATGAGCAAGGGTATGTTAGATATGTTGCACTTACTGGAGAGGTGGCTTGTCCAATTTTTGAACTGTATCACAAAGTACTTGCTGTACATTCTTTCCCTCCTCATTCATCACATGATCATGCTCATTGAGCAATGCTTCAAACGAGTTAGAAAACTCGATATTTTTTGATGTTATGACCTGGTCTTTCAGACCTGGAGATCTCGTATTTTTAGGTGATCGATGCGTCACTGCTTGCTACTGATTAACAGGTGATCGAGCAACAACTGTCCAGTCCTTTCCAGCTATATTCTTTAATGTTCCATCTCCCATACCTATCTTCTTTGGCCCATCTTAGAATTAGAGCTATTCCTCAAGCCAACTGCTGCAATTTGCTGTTGCCCGAATGGTACAAAAGCATGTGTATTTGAGCTTAATTCTTTCTTGCATTAACTCCTTTACGTTCCTTCCCCTCATCTTGTGTAACAGTAGCTAATAAACCTACTGGTTTTTGAACTACATCAACAATTGCAGCACTATATTTAGGAGCCCCAACAGTAGGTCGATCACCAGTTGCATTCAATGCAACATTAGGCTCCAACTTCGAACCTATAGTAGTTGCTTCAATTCCACTTTTTTGACTGCCACTGCTACATGATTCTTAGTGTTTTTTCCTTGATCACGCCCTGTAACAGCTACACTACCTCAAAGCATCTACATCTTCAAGACCTTGCCCTTCATCGTGCACAACAGTAGGCTCAATAACTGCTAGTTTTTCAACCATCTCAAGTGCAATAGTATTAGCTTGATCACCCATCTTATGCAAACTTGTATGGTTTTGGAAAGCTGATCCCACAACCTGGTAAATCCTTGCTAACACAGTAGCAGCAGGGATATCTGGGAACTAGAGCTCCTTTCGTTCCTGGGATTGTCAAGAGCTTTTAAGTTATCTATGTCATGAGTTAAAATAGCTTGGAGGATGTTTGTAGGAGTCAAATTATATTGTGCAGCCACTCCACTTGTAATAGCTACCTGTCCAGTAGATTTTTGGATCAAATTAAGCTTAGAAACCGTACCTGATAGTTGCTGTCCAGTCGGAACAAAAGCAGCAACATTAGGACTTAGCTTTGTCTTGCTTTGCACACTAGGAGATGGACTTGCAACCTGATCAACCACAGCTACTGCTCCTTCCTTTGCTTTACCCCCTTGTTGTGTTGACGAACCATTTTCTTGAGTGTTTAGCTCCTGGGAATCACCAACATAATTTTCTTCACCTTCATCATACTGTTCTACTTGGTCAGCCCATGTCTTACGCTTAGAGCTAACTTCCTCCTGTAGCTCGTTTAAATTCTGGACAGGTTCATCATTCAACTCATCTTCACTTGTTATGTCATCATGTTCTTCTCTTGTGTGGTCAGCCCCTCCTTTTGGTTGTTTTGTTGCCGATGACATCATGGATAAAGTTTGCTGGATGTTTGAAACTTGTAACATGTTGCCATATCGATCAAACAAATCATTGGAGGGGATATCATGTTGTGATGTATTCAAACCAACCCCAACTATGCCATTGTTTTCTTTCACCTATTGAAGAGACATTCCTTTCGTTGAATTATGCAAAAACCCAGGCAGAACTTGCGAAGGATTCATGCTCTCCAGAATTTTAGCTCCAATTGGAGTAAGATTAACATTAGAAGGTGCAATAGAGTTATTCGAAACTACAACAAGCTGCCCATTCTTATCTGTTGAATCCTTCTCTATGTTGGCACTTGTTAGCCGATCCTCCACCACCAGAACATCATAAGCATTTGTACTACAAAAATGCTTGTCACCAACAGATGGATTTTGAGAAAGAATTCCAGCTGATGCCTTTTTTTGTGTGTTACTGAACTCAAGCCTTCCTCTCTATTCACATCCGCTCCTTGCTACTAGAGTTTGTAACATGTTCCAATAGTTCATTAGGTTTAGTAGATTGTGCAGCAGATTATGCTAGAACTGCACCAGTTCTGCCTGAATTCACAAACAACTGCCCAGCTTTTTTCTCCTTTCCTACTTGCACTCTATCTTTTGCTTGATCATCTGTAATTTGTTGCGACTGCCCTGCTATTTCCTTTGCCTTAACACCTTCATCAGTTGCACTATCCAAAACTTTCACACCTTGAACACCTTGCCCCTGAATATGCACAGCACTAGGTTTCAAACATGCTGATTTTTTAACTTCAAGTGCAGTAGTTGTTTAATAACTGATGGGTTTTCAACCATTTCAAGTGCAGCAGCATTAGCTTGATCTCCCCCCTATTCAAATTTGTGTGATTTTGTAAAGCTGATCCTACAACCTTGTAGATCATCGCCAAAGCTGTGGCAGCAGGGATGTCTCTAGGAAGTTTGGATTTGACAAGAATTTTCTGTTGATCATCACTCATCTACACAGTGTTTTTAGCAGCAATCTTACCACTGTTTCCTCCTTGATCAACCAATGAAACTCCTCGATCATGTATCCTTTCTAGCGACACATCTGGCCTTTTCAAAGCAGTACCTTTAGGCGTAGGATCACTTGTAGCAATTGTAGCAGCAGCTGTTTGTAAAACCTGTTCAAGATGCCCAGGTGCAACACTATTAACCTTGGTAGCTTTAGTAGCCTGCACATTAGCTGGTACATCCTCTGAATCCTGCACAAGGCTGCTTCAACTGGGACTGTGTTTAACCAAAAAGTGGAATTTCGGTTAAAGGCTTAATTTAGAAGAACTCGGGTTACTAATAATCAAAGAATGAATAAAGGAAAGTGATTTTGCCAACACAATAAGGCCATTATAGACAATTAAAGGCATTAAATTCTACATTACATAATCATTGGGATTCAACACAGATTCCCTAACGTTTTTAGTATTTAATGCTTATTAAATACTGTATCTGTACTCTCTTTTGCTGTCAGATTCATTCTTCTTGATTTTTGGATTAAATAGGTATGAGCGTTAAGTCTTCTGAATAACCGCTCGTGCCTCTTCATGTGCCTCTGCTCATATTTGTTGCAACTCGTGCCTCTTTGTTAATCATAACTCTTTGACCAGTCTACGTGTCGTGACACGTCATCTTCCAATCACTTTAATATGTAAACTCAATTTTTCCCAATACAGATAGTCCCCACCACTTGCCATTTATTCATCAATATAATATTTGGGAAGTGGAATTCATTAAAACGGGAATTTTTGTCACCATTAATGCTATAGCAAAATCAACGCTTCATTTGTCACTTCCATTTAATGCTCTTCACGCGTGGCACCCCTTTTACTGGTTCTGCAACTTTGCAACGCTTTTTAGGACTTTTTCACGGCTTCACTAACCACGAAGCGTCAGATATCATTATGACCTTTCCATCATTGCACATTTTCCTTTGACGGTTGCTTCGCAGTATAAATATAGTTTTCTTCTCTGTCTTTATCACATAAAGTTCTCAAAATATTCAGTTCTTGAATCTTTGTTTGCTTCTTCCCCGTACTATCATGTCTTCATCAAACTCTAACCCTAGTAGGGTCCCCATAGTTGCTAACTTCCCTAATGCCCCCAGTAGGAGCAGAAGAGGAGGTAGGCTTCGTAATTTAGGATCTTCATCCTTACGTGGTTCTTCTCTTCCTTCGCCTAGTTCTGGCCCTTCTTCTAGAACTAGAGGTTCTCTTTCACACAGATCTTCTTCAAGAGGTAAGGAATCTTCTGAACCTCTTTGTGAACCTCTAGTAGAAGAGATAGTTCCTGCCGAACTATCTTTCTATAATGACAGAGAATCTCTTAGAAATCAAGTATCTTCTTTAGATTGTGCTGATATCTATCCCACTTAAATCAGTGAAGGTTTGAGTTCTTTAGTTCGTAGAGACTGCCATTGGAGTCATGACTTTCCTATCATTATTCCCAATCTGAATCAAAGAATTACCTATTACTTAACCGGTTTTTCCTTTGTCTATACGTACAATTTCACATTAGAATTCAAACCTGCTATTGATCCTGTTATTCTCGAGTTCTGTCGTTTCTTTGATGTTTGCTTAGGTCAAATTGGCCCAATAATATGGAAGGTTGTTGCCTGTTTGAGGCATTTGACCAACATAGCCAGTGTGTCTTTTACTTTCCCACATCTAATTCATCTTTACTCCCCTAGACTCTTTCGCAATGGTGTTTTTACACTAGTAGCCAGGAGCAAAAGAGTTCTAGTTAGCCCTGAAGATGACAAAGATCGTGGCTGGTATGCCAGGTTTGTTGCTGCCCCCACTGTTGGTTTAGTGGGTGATGAGAACGTTCCCTTCCCTGAGAAGTGGAATTTTGCATGTGAGTCTTCTAACTTTCTCGTACCTTTTTCTTCAATTTTGTTGATTTTTCTAATTTTACTTTTCTTTTCTAGCAACCATGGGAGTTGTGGAAGATGTTCCCAATTTCCGTGATTGGGTAGGAAAGTTGTTGAGTATTGCACCAATGGATGGTAGATCTTGGAAGACCCTTTCCCAACGTTTTGGTTGGAAAGTAAAAACTCATGGTAAGAGCTTTTATTTTATTTTACATATTATTTTTTCCTGAACTTATCTCAATCCTTCTTTCTATTAGGATTTGCTATTCGAGGAGTTATTGTTGAGGCGGTTGCGGCTTCTCATATCTCTTTGGAAAGGGCTCAAGAAATAATTCTGGGCTCTTCATCGAAAAGAAAATCCGTTGATGACCAAGACTTTGAAGAAGAGGAAGACGGGGGTTCCTTGGTAACAAGGCCACAGGCTCGTAGATGCATTATTTCCGATGATGAAACAAAAGCGTCCCCCCACCGTTCTATTCCTCTTACCAAATCTGTTGAAGCCCTGGTAGTGATCCCTGATGAAGTTGATGATGCTCCCGCTGCTGCTCATGATTCTGTTGAGCAGCGTTTTGACCGCGGGTTTGGTAGTGAAAGTTTAAGTCCCATTTCTGATGAAACTCCCTTGGCTTCTTTTTCTCCTCCCGTGCATGTGACTCCTACTTTGCCGATTATGGCTGCTTCCATTCCTCCCCATGATGTTTTTACTACTTCTACTGTTCCTCCTTCGACAATTCCTCCCCCACCTGCTCACCGTGCTGAGGTTGGCTCCTCAAGTAGGAGTGGTGCTATGAGGCAAGTAATTATTGAAGTCCCCACTGAGGTCAACCTTTTAAGGAAATCGGGTCAAGCAGATGTGTGGCTAAAGCCTTTAATTGGTCCTGTTGAGAGAGCCAAGCTAGAGAGCCATAGTTCTTTGACTTTGATGAATGACATTGTGCATGCTTCTTTAAAGGTATTCCTTTTTTGTAGATTTTAGTTTGCCATTATTCTATCTTTGAGATTCTCATTTCCTTCCCTTTCCCCCCTTTTTAGGCCAATCTCATCGGCACGGAGATGATGAAAAGGGTTACCCTCTCAGAGCAGTTAGTGTGTGATTATCAATTGGAGGCATGTAATTGGAAGGAACAGTATGAAAGTCTTCAGATCGACGTGGAGCTCTTAGAAGAAAGTAAGAGTACCTTGGAGTAGCAGGTGCGGGTCTTGACTTCGAAATTGGCAATTGAAAAGGCTCCCTCAAGTCAAGCAGATAAGGAGAAGTCTCGTCTTGAAACCTCTTTTTCCGAGCAGCTTTCTAAGGCAAGTGAAGAGATCAGAGAGTTGAAGGCTCTCTTGGCTGAGAAAGAAGCATATGCTGGTGAACTTGTGCAAAATTTGACCCAAACTCAGAAAGATCTCCGGGTATCTTCTGATAAGTTTTGTTCTTTAGAAAATCCCACGCCTCTCTTCAAGTTTCTTATGAATCTGCCTTGGCTGAAAATGAAAAGTTAAAAAATGAAATTGCTGATTGGGAAAGAGACTACGAGATCCTTGAAGATAAATCTGCCATTGAAGTGAGTTGGGCGTTTTTGAATTCTCGCCGCGATACCCTTGTTAAAGCCAGCCAAGAGAATTTTAACTTGGAATTTGAGTTAGCCAAGATCAAAGAGACTATTGAGAAGGCTCAGCAAAACTAAGATTTTTCTTCTCCCGTAGCTGAAGATTTTGAAAATGTTGAAATTGATACGGATATCCCCACTCCTTCAAGCCAAGTTGAGCCCGCTGCTATTGAGGTCCCTGCTTCAGTCCCTTTATCAAATCAGTGAGAAGTTTATTTGAACTCCTTTGTGTTGTGTTTTTTTCCTTTTTGGTGAAATGTGGTTATAACCCTTGGTCTCATTTGAGGGTTTGTTTTGGAAGTTTAAGTCCCCAGACCTTTTATGGGGCAATATGTATAAACAATTTTCAGTTTATGACTAAGCTCATACTTAGTCTAAGCTTTTTAATAGTAAGAAGTTTTTTGTTACTATTTGAACTTCTGTTTTATTTATTCTTGCCTTTATTTCTAAGGTTTTACTGAATAACTTACATTTTTACTCTTCAAAAAATGCTTTTGTTAACTTTATGAATACCTAAATTAATTATGAATTTTATAAAAGAGGGCCCTTTAATATGAGACACTTAATGAAGAAGACGTCTCAACTTTATAACGGTGTTAATATACGATAAAAGAAATAGGAATACACATGTTTCTTGAAATAACTTTAACAAGTTTTTATTTGAACTTTGTCTAGTTTTGAATAACACTTTACATGTATTTGAATTACTTCTATAACTTTATATGAGACACTTGTTATAGATGAAGACTGCTTAACCCGTTTGAATTTCTATCAGAATAATTGTAACCCTAGACCGGGAAGTTTAATTTATTCCACATGCCTTGCAGGTAGTGACTCATCATTTAGTACGGGCTAGCTTTTTGCCTATCATCTAAAATCGTTAGTAAAATTTTAACAATTCAAAAATAGAATTAAACATAGATACCTGACTGTGGGTATTCCTTAGAAATAGTATCTCTTCAAATGAACAACATTCCAGTGCGAAGGTAGTATTTTGCCATCTATCGTTTCCAGCTCGTATGCTCCTTTTACTGCAATACCATGAATCTTATAGGGTCCTTCCCAGGTTGGACTCACTTTTCCCGCATTGGCTGCCTTCGTAGATTGAAAAACCTTTTTGAGCACGAAGTCCCCAATCTTGAAGAATCTTAGGCGTGCTTTTCAGTTGTAGTATCGTTCTATGACCTGCTTTTGTGATGCCATTCTTATTAATGCAGCTTCTCTTTTCCCTTCAAGTAGATCAAGATTTATGTGCATTTCTTCGCCATTAGATTCTTCTGACGCTTGTGTAAAGAACTTGGCTCTCCTATCTCAACTGGAATTAAAGCTTCAACTCCATAAACCAATGAAAATGGTGTTTCTCCCGTACTTGTTTTTGTTGTTGTGTGGTATGCCCATAAAACACCAGGTAACAATTCTGGCCAATTACCTTTGGGTTCCTCCAAACGCTTCTTTAGATTGTTGATAATGACTTTGTTTGTTAACTCAGCTTGTCCATTACCCACCGGATGATAAGGTGTGGATGTTATCCTTTTGATATGCCAACTTTGAAAAAACTCTGTAATTTGTGCACCTATAAATTGAGGGCCATTATCACACACAATTTCCTTTTTCACACCGAATCGACATATGATATTTCGCCAAATGAAATCTCTAACTTCTTTTTCTCGCACCTGTTTGAATGCTCCTGCTTCCAGCCATTTAGTAAAATAGTCAGTAAGTACAAGCAAGAATTTTACTTGTCCTTTTGCTTGTGGTAGTGGACCCGCGATATCCATTCCCCATTTCATAAATGGCCACGGTGCAATGACCGGATGTAACAACTCTGCAGGTCTATGCATGTTATTACCGTATCTTTGGCACTTATCACATTTAGCCACAAAATTTTTCGCTTTTTCTTCCATTTTAGGCCAGTAATAACCTGCCCTAATCATGGTTCTTACCAGTGATCTTCCTCCGGCGTGATTTCCACAATGCCCCTTGTGTATCTCTCTCATTACATGTTTCGTTTGTGAAGGCCCGAGGCACCTTGCTAAGGGTCCACCGAACATTTTTCGATAAAGATTGCCTTACTTTAAACAATATCGAGCAGCCTTTTTCCGAAGCGCGTGAGCTTTTTTCTTGTCTTCAGGGACGGTTCCATACTGCAAAAAAACAACAATCGCGTTCCTCCAATCCCAGGTTAAGTTATTAAAATTTAACTCATTTTTATCTGGATCAAGCACTGAATGAAACAAATGAATTACGGAAGCATTTTCATTGCTTGCCACGTCTGCTGCAGATGCGAGATTGGCTAGGGCGTCCGCCTCGACATTTTCATCTCTTGATATTTGCATAACTTTCCAGGTTTGGAATTGCCTGATCAGATCCTGTACCTTCTCTAAGTACTGCTGCATCCGTGCTTCCCTGACCGTATAAGTCCCCAGCATTTGATCAACTACGAGCTACGAATCGCTTTTGATCACAATCTGATTAATGCCGAGTTCTCGTGCTAGTTCTAAACCTGCAATCACAGCTTCATACTTTGTCTCATTGTTAGTTATAGAATGACATTTAATGGCTTGTCGAATGGTTTCACCCATAGGTGGTACCAAAACAATTCCCAAGCCTGCACCCTTCACATTAGAAGAACCATCAGCGAATAAGGTCCAAATTCCCGGATTAGAGCCGGTGAACACTTGCAATTCTTTTTCTGCTTCCAATTGCATTCCTTGGCTAAAATTAGCCACAAAATCTGCTAACACTTAAGATTATCGCGGTTCTAGGCTGGTATGCGATGTCATATTCACTTAATTCTATAGCTCATTTGGCTAACCTACCTGACAACTCATACTTATGTAATGTATTGCGTAATGGATAAGCAGTTACTACAACGATAGGATGACACTGAAAATAAGGCCTTAATTTTCTATATGCTATGATTAATGCAAGTGCAAGCTTTTCTTACTGAGGATACCGTGTCTCTGTATCTAATAAAGATTTGCTGACATAATAGATCGGAGATTGTTTACCTTGGTCTTCACGGACTAAAACAGCACTTACCGCTACTTCTGAGACAACAAGGTAGATAAGCAATCTTTCCCCAGCCTTTGGTTTTGCGAGTAATGGCAGATTTGACAGGTATGCCTTCAAATTTTTGAGTGTATTCCTCAGTCCATTCGAACTGATCTTTCTTTTTAAGAGCTGAAAAGAACTTAAAGCATTTTTCTGATGATTTAGAAATGAACCTCCCCAAGGCTGCAATTCTTTCTGTCAACCTCTGCACTTCTTTTCTACTTGTAAGCATGTCAGGAATTTCTTCAATGACATTAATCTGTTGTGGGATTCACTTCAATACCACGGTTAGAAACAAGAAAACCTAAAAACTTACCTGATGCAACACCGAATGCACATTTCTCAGGATTTAATTTCATGTTAAATTTTTGCAAAATTTGAAGCGTATCAGATAGGTGTGATATATGATCTCCTGAATGCTGAGTTTTAACGAGCATATCGTCTATATAAACCTCCATGGTTTTTTCCAAATGTTCTTGAAACATTTTGGTCACCAGTCTTTGATATGTTGCGCCAGTTGTTTTAAGACCAGAGGGCATTACTTTATAACTGTAAGTCCCCCTATCTGTTATAAATAAAGTTTTTTCTTCATCCACATGATCCATTTTGATCTGATTATATCCTGAATACGCATCTAAAAAGCTTAACAACTCATGCCTGCAGTAGCATCAATTAGTTGATCTATATGTGGTAATGGGAAAAAAATCTTTAGGTCAAAGTTTGTTAAGGTCTGTGTAAGCTGCACAAACTCGCCACTTACCATTCTTCTTTGGTACTACAATGGTATTGGCTAACCAATTAGGATACTTTACCTCGCGGATAGACCCAATTTTTAGTAATTTTTGAACCTCATCTTGAATCACCTAATTTTTGAAAGTTCCTTGCTCTCTCTTCTTTTGTTTGACAGGTGTATATGATGGGTCTTCCTTTAATTTGTGAGTTATTACCTCCAGTGATATTCCTGTCATATCAGAGTGGGACCAAGCAAAATAATCCACGTTAGTTTTTAAAAATTCAATCACCTTACCTTTCATGTCTTGGCTTAGATTGGCCCCTAAGTAGACTTTCCTTTCAGGCCATTGTGCAAATAATATTACAGCTTCCAGTTCTTCAATCTTTGTTTTGATATTTTCATTTTCTTCTAGTTCTTGAATGGCATCTGGCCTTGAGTCCACGTCTGTTCATCCTTGTTCAGTTGAGGTTTGTGTTGTGGTACCCTCAACTGGATTCTGTAATTGTTATTTTTCTTCGTTTCCCGTGCTTGAATCTGCTACAGAATTGATGCTTCTGGATGTATGTTGATCCCCATGGATTTGACATATTTCTCATGGTGATGGAAATTTAATAACTTGGTGCAAGGTTGACGGAACGACATCCATCTTGTGGATCCATGGTCTTCCAAGGATCATATTGTAAGCCATCTCCATGTCTACCACCTGAAATTTTGTATCCTTGACAACTCCTTCTGCGAATGTTGTAAGTATTACCTCCCCTTTTGTCACTACGCTGGAATTGTCAAATCCAGACAGAGTATATGCCTTTGGTATTAATTTATCTTCGGCTTGCATCTCACGTAGCACTCTTAGCAAAATAATGTTCACGGAACTACCTGGATCAATCAAAACTCGTTTCACATTAGTATCATGTACAACTAAAGATATTACCAGTGCATCGTTATGTGGGAATAATACGCCATCCACGTCTGCATCATCAAACGCAATGCTTTCTTCCTCTAAGACATGCCGCACCCGCTTCCCGTGGGTAATTTTGACTTTGGAGACTTTATTGGCTGTTATGTACGTCACACCATTGATGTCTTCACCTCCACTTATCACATTAACGGTCCTTTTGGGAGAAGGTGGTTTTGGGGGCTCCTGCCTATTCTTCATATATGCTTGCTTACCTCTCTCACTGAATAATTCAGTGAGATACCCTTGATTTAATAGATGATCAACTTCACCTTGCAGCAACCTGCAGTCTGCCGTTTTATGCCCGTGATCATTGTGAAATTCGCACCAGTGATTAGGGTTGCGCCTGTTTGGGTTCGATCTCATTTCTTTTGGCCACCATACTTTATCACCCATGCTTCTTAAAACAGCTACGAGCTCGGAAGTGCTTACATTAAAATTATAACCGCCAAACCTTCCTTTCATGTTTCTATCATCATCCTGTGGCTCTCGCTCGTTTCGATCTTTCCCAAATCTTTATGATGAGCCTGACTCTCTATTCCTCGACCTATGATCGTACCTCGGATTGTCCTATTTTGACCGTGAACCTTTTCCTACTGGACCCATATATGGTTCGTACCTATTTTTACCAGGCCTTTTTCGGTTTCCGCCCGTCTCGAACTCACCTTTTCTTCGTTTTGAGATCGTGAGATAATATCCTCTTCTATCCTTAGCTTCGTGATGTACCTATTATAAACGCCATTCCACGTTGTTGCTGAGAATTCACGAAAACTTTCCTTGAGTCGTCTCGTGGCTTCAGAGCTTTTTCATTCAAATTACTTGTGAAGGCTATAGCTGCCCAATTGTCAGGTACATGCGGTAACGTCATTCTTTCACGTTGGAACTTGTCCATGAACTCTCTAAGCAATTCTGAGTCCCCTTGCTTGATTTTGAAAATATCTTCCATTCTTTTTTCGACTTTTTGAGCCCCCAAGTGTGCTTTGATGAAAGAATATGCAAGCTCAGCAAAAGAATTTATGGAATTTTCGGGTAAAAGAGAATACCATGTTAATGATCCCTTAGTGAATGTTTCACTGAATGTTTTGACCAATACTGATTCAATTTACTGTTTGGTCAAGTCGTTGCCTTTTACGCCTGTTGTGAATGCAGTCACGTGGTCTCATGGATTAGTTGTTCCATCGTATTTTGGGATTTCAGGCATTTTGAATTTCTTTGGAATTGGGGGAGGAGCAGCACTTGGCTTCCAGGGTTGTTGTGAATATTTATCCATATCTATCCCTTTAATTACGGGCGGCATCCCAGGAATTTGCTCTATGCGGTCACTTTGCTCTTTGAGTTGTTTCTGCAATGTTAGTACTAAATTTTGTAAATCAGAATTAACTAAGTTACCCGGTTCTCCTTTTCGTGATTCAGTGGGGGTTCCACCACTGCCTGAATTAGCAAGCCCAGAATGAGGGTTCTCCAAAGTGTTGTTATTTGGAGTAGGTGTGGGTGGTGCGGCAGGTAATTGATTAACAAAAGCCTCAAGAGCTTTGTTGACTTGTTGAGCGATTAGCTTTTGCAAAGCTTCATCAATAGCTTCAACATTTTCAAATTGAGCATTTCCATTTGCATGAGATCCATCAGGAATGCCCTATCGATATCGTCGAGGGGAGCTTTGTGGAGAAGGGATTGGGATGTGGTCATCCTGTGGATTCTCCTAGAGTTGTTAGTTTCCTTGGGTGTTGTCATTGATGTTCGACATAGTTGATGCACCAAAAAAGGTTAGGCTAAGAAAGAATAGATTATCAGATTTCCGGTAACAGAACCAATTTGTTTAACCAAAAAGTGAAATTTCGGTTAAAACCTTAATTTAGAAGAACTCGGATTACTGATAATGAAATAATGAATAAAGGAAAGTGATTTTTCCAACAATAAGATAATCATAAGAAAACAAAGTAAACCAATGTATTCAGATAGTATTTCGTGTCTCTACAAATGATACATTCTCTTCCTTCTATAGCTATCTCCAAGTTATACGTTATGCCTTTGTCATAATAAGACCATTATAGACAATTAAAGGCATTAAATGCTACGTTACATAATCATTGGGATTCAATACAGATTCCCTAACATTTTTAGTATTTAATTCTTATTAAATACTATATTTGTACTCTCTTGTGCTGTCAGATTCATTCTCCTTGATTTTTGGATTAAATAGGTACAAGCGTTGAGTCTTCTGAATAACCGCTCGTGCCTTCTCATGTGCCTCTGCTCGTATCTGTTGCAACTCGTGCCTCTTTGCCAATCATAACTCTTTGACCAGTCTACGTGTCATGACACGTCATCTTCCAATCACTTTAATATGTAAACTCAATTTTTCCCAATACAGACTGCATCAATCCCATTAACGACAACTGAATAATGCACAGTAGTAGCTTGTTGATTTTCAATAGCTTGCAACTGCAATAACTTCTATTGCCCGTCTACTAAACTGCTGGTTCAAATTCGTAAGTTGTATGATCTAGACCTTAAGAGATTTAACATATCATATGTGTGATCATTGCGAGGAAATTTAATGGCAGCTCTTGTGATGCTAATTGATGAGAAAAATCTTCAAAATGAAATTGTAGATAATATACAGAAATAGAAGGTGATTCGCAGCTCTATATTCTAAGTATCATCTTCAGAATCAAAGGATAAAGAGATGCAGAGGGGACAGAGGAGATGACCAATTTTCAGTTCCTAATAACCATAGTTCTTCGCTCATAAGATAATAAAGTAAGTGGTATTCTATTATTAAACCAGATCTTATCTCAAAGTTGAAACACTTGCCAATTTAAACATTCAGAAAGGCATATATACACGTGGATTGCTCGCTCTCTCCCTTTTCTTCTTCTGGTGCAAAGGAATTTAGACCCCACTGTGTGGGAATTGTTGTTGCTGGTGCAAAGGAATTTACTTGAACAGCTGTATAGATTTTGTGGGTTTCTAAAATGAAATCCATATTGTATAGTTCTTTTTCCCAAGATGGCACTTGTATAATGATTTAGCAACAGTGAGTTATATAACATTTGCTAGCACCTATCAAAAATGAAAAGAAGCATATTAGAATTCTCAGTATAACTGAAGGGTTCTTATGAAGAATTCCAGTTCATTTGTAGCTTATTTATAAAATCTTTATAAAATATATTCTCAATTTTCAAAAGTACTAAAAATTTAACATATTTATTCATCCTTTACTGTAAAAATTAAGGGTATTACATGGGATATAGGCTAGTGAAATGGTGGATGTGAGAAATTATTCAAACGGATTATAAAAATAATGTTCGAACGTAGATTGACTAATATTCCTTAGTAAAGGTGACTAGTATGTTTTTATTCGCTTATGTTCATTTCTTGTTCATTGTCATACTAATATTTTTTGGTTGATTATATATGTATATCAATTTTGTGTATGCACCAGATTATGGCACCTAATAAGCAATGGATGGAACTTATTCATGATCGACTTGATAACGCTTACATACTTGGGGTGGAGACCTTTATGGATTTTGCTTTTAAAAGATTAGGGGGAACACGCGAAATACGTTGTCCATGCGTCAAATGTTGTAATGAAATTTCAGAAACACGTGAGATGGTTAGGTCACATTTAATAGTATACGGAATGATCCAAAATTATACCCTTTGGTATCACCATGGGGAGAGATTAGGTGAGTCTTCTTCAGATTATGAATTTGTAGATGATAAGATCAATGAAGAGGGTGATGGTGAGGATGAAATACATGAAATTTTAAGAGATTTATATCCCACTTTTGAAGGAGACAATATGAACAATGACGGTGATGTGCAGTTTGAGGAGGAACAAAATATTGAAGCAAAAAGATTCTATAGGATCTTAAAAGATTTTGAGCAACCATTGTACCAAGATTCAAAAGTTTCTAAACTTTCTACTTTGGTTAAGTTGCTTCATATCAAAAGTATTGGTAATTGGAGTAACACGTCATTTACAATGTTGTTGAAACTCTTGAAGGAAGATTTATTGCCGGATGGATCAAACTTGCCAGATTCATATTATGAAGCAAAGAAGGTAATTCGACACCTAGGGCTTTCTTACAAGAAGATTGATGCATGTAAAAATGATTGCATGTTATACTGGAATGATGATAAGTCTCTTTAGTCTTGCAAAGTTTGTGGTGCATCTAGATGGAAGAAGGATAAACATAACGGGGAAACCAAATTTAAAAGTGGAAAAAAGATACCATACAAGATTTTACGTTATTTTCCTCTAAATCCAAGACTTCAAAGATTATTTATGTCCTCGAAAATATCTACTCTGATGAGATGGCACCATGACAAACGAGTTGATGATGGAATAATGAGGCACCCAGCTGATTCAATAGCGTGGAAAACATTTGATGAACTTCATCAATCTTTTGCATCTGAGCCTCGTAATGTCCGACTTGGACTTTCTAGCGATGGTTTTCAACCATTTGAAAATTCCAAAACTCCATGTAGCACTTGGCTTGTGGTACTTATTCCTTATAATTTACCACCTTGGCTATGCATGAAGAAAGAAAATTTTATTTTGTCGATGATTATTCCTGGTCCTGAGAGTCTTGGAGATGCTATTGGTTTCTATCTCAAGCCTTTGATAGAGGAATTAAAGGAATTGTGGGAATCTAGAGTGGAGACCTTTGATGCGTCAACTAAACAAAATTTCGTGTTACATGCATCTTTATTATGGACCATTAATGACTTTGATCAGTCTTTTCACAATTGTAGCATCCATCATTAGCCTGCTTCTCTGGAGCTCTTGCCTTGTTGTAGCTTCCACTTCTTAAAGAACTCTTTCCTCTCCTTAGGTACTTCTTGAAGTCTTTGGTAATCATTGCCATTTCATCATTTTCCAAGTCAGAAAATTTAGTAGTTCTGAGTGTCAGACTCCTTTCCTTCTTAGGCACATCAATTTTCATGATTTGTCTTCTAAGTTCATAAGTTGTGAGATTTCCAATTAACTCACACAAAGAAAGTGTAGAAATAATCTTTGATTCCTGAATGGCAGTGATCTTGCTTTCCCATGTTATTGGCAAGACCCTAGTTAGTATCTTCTCAACCCTCCCATCTTCAGGGATGATCCTTCCAAGAGACTTTAGTTTATTTGTTAATGTAGTGAACCTTTTGTACATATCCTGAATGGTTTTTTCATCTCTCATGGCAAAGTTCTCGTACTGAGAGTATAGTAGGGTTCCACTTGATCTTTTCACTTAAGATGTTCCTTCATGGGCACCTTGCAGTGTGTCCTAAATTTGCTTGGCAGTGGAGCAGGCTTGAATTCTACTTTACTCATCTGGACTAAGTCCACAGACAAGTCATTTCTTGGCTTTGGCATTCTTTTATCACTTCTTCAAATCCTCAGTATTGTAATTAACTCTTGTATTTGGCACATTTACTCCTTCAGCATTTTTCTTCAAAGTGGACAGTGGACCATCAGTAATTATGCCACATAGCTTGTAGTCCTCGGCCTATATGTGATCCCTCATCCTTGTCTTCCTCCAAGTGTAGTACTGGATATTGAAGAGCGGTGGCCTAGTAGTGGATTGCCCTTCCCAATCTAGGTGGTGCACTTATATTAATCTTTTCCTAAGGTGTCAGCCTCTTCAAGAATAACCCACTATAATACTAATTGGTATTTTATACTTTAATACCACACAAGAGAAGGGTGATTTGTATGGTGTCCACTTTTCACGTGCATTGATTATAGAAGGATCTGGTTCTTCTATGCATTCCTTATTCTACTATTGTAGAATAAATAAAGCAAAAAGTAAAGAACACAAGTATTTTAACGTGGAAAACACCTGGCTCAACCAGTAAGATTTTTCCCAACACTTAACTTAAACACTAAGCCAAATAACAATGTTTACAAAACTCTTATAAACCTAAGGATTACCTCTAACCCTTGTGGCAACCAGCCTCAAGTTGTTGCGACAGCTTCAAGTTAACTCTAACTTGAGCAATATAATTCAAAGTACCTAGTACAAATGCTTCTAAAGAAAGTTGAAAGGTACAACTCAAAATTCCTACAACAATTGAAATAGAATAAAAGACAAACACTTGGAACTGGTTTTTCTATCTGGTTCATGTAGCTCCAGGTTTGCACACTTATAACACACAGAAATTGCTTGCAAAATGCCTTGCTATTTTCCTCTCAATTCTTGCTTAACTTCAGCATTTGTGCGTTACCTGTAAAAGAGAATACAAATGACATACGTATATAGAGTTAGTAGGATTAGGATTAACTAGAGTTCTAATGCTTTACTCTTCCTTGGTGGAAGAGTTCTAGTTAACATCAATCTCTAACTCTTCCCATATCTAGGATAGAGTTATCTTCAAGTAAGGAGTCCTGCTCTTATCTATTATGCAACCTTTTCGTTCAGGGAATATCAGATATAACCACTTATACTTATCCTCTTCACGTGCATGCCTTGTGCTTAAATCTACGCATACCCTATGTACACTGTGCATGAACCTGATTCATGCATGCGTTCCTTTGTCAATCATCAAACTAAAAAGCTGTTAAGGCCAACAGAGACGCTTGGGTAGAAGGAAACTCAGATCAGTATTTGTGACTCTTATGGTTAATGCTTGATTTGATATAAATGGCAGGTATAAATCATACAACAAATTTGAAAGGATTTTGGTCAATTCAAAAAATAAATTAACTAATGCGTTATTAGCTCATTGATCATTTTCTGTTTTATGAACTTCTAAACAATTTGTGCAGAATTTGAAATAAACACGAGTATACTTCATTAGTTGGTAAATTTGGTTTGTTGATGCCAAAAGATTATTTTTCTCTACTAAGTGTTCAGTAACTAATAAAATTCTGTGACAAATTCATTTACAGTTAAACTCGTGCAGAAATGAGCCAAGACTTACTTTGGGCCCATCGTAATGGCAATGCCTACAATTACAATGATAGTCAATGCTGAAAGGAAAAGCTAAGCTTGCCCTTTCTTTTCCTCTAAAGATGTAAAAAGGAATTTGTGTCTTTTAAAATAAGTTTATGTTGTATATACGGGTAGTGTGATGACCCGATATGTCATCTTATAATTTAAACTGAATTCTGTTATCTGAAATCTTTAAAAGTTATGTTCTAGCTTTTCTCAATTTGCGTGCACAGTCTGGGTGTCTTTACGAAAAGTTTGTATGTTAAAAACGGATAAAAAAAAGAAATTTTGCCTAAATTTTTTATTTGAGTTGACTTCGGTGAACATTCTTGGTAAACGGAACTGGATTCATATTTTGACGATCCCGATGTGTCCATACCGTGATTTGGGATTTGGGCAAATGCCCGGAGTCGAAATCGGAAGTCCCTATCCCGAGATATCGGACTATGTCAAAATTTGAAAGTTGAAAGCTTAATGCAATTGAAGTGTTTGACCAAAGTTTGACTTTTTGGATAACGGGTCCGTATTTTGGTTCCAGAACCCATATAGGTCCAATACCATAAGTATGACTTATCTGAGAAATTTGATGAAAAACGGAGTTGATTTGACGTGATTCGGACGTCCGGTTGTGAAAATAGGAATTTCAAAGTTTTCTTGAAAATTTCATTCGATTTGGTATTAAATTCGTAGTTTTAGGTATTATTTTGGCTATTTTATTGCGCGAGCAAGTTTGTATGATATTTTTAGACTTGTGTGTGTGTTTGGTTTGGAACTTGAGGGCTCGAGTGAGTTTTGGATAGGCTACGGAGTGATTGAACTTAGAAAAAAATTGCTGGAGTACTTTAGTTCTTATTGCAGGCCTCTGATCTCGCAAGACATTGCGAGATCAAGCTTTGCACTTGTGACAACTTTTGGGTTCTACATTTTCGACCTACTCATTGCATTTGCAATGAGTAGTTGTGGAGGTCAATGTTCGCCATTGTGAACAATTACTCGCAATTGCGATGGGAACTCGTGAGGGGTGCCTTTCGCATTTGCGATCACATGGTCGCATTAGCGATCTTGCCCATGTTCGCATTTGTGAACTATACCTCGCATTTGCGAACAATGTAGAACTGAGAAGGGGTTCGCATTTGCGATGCCTCCTTTGCATTTACGTGCTTCGCATTTGCGAAGCCCAGTCATAATTGCGACATCTGCAGCTGGGTAAATGAGACTTAGACGGGATTTTCTCCCATTCTTCAAATGTTCAAATCCTAAAACCCTTGGTGATTCTTCCAACACCAATTCTTCCCCAAAATTTGGTAAGTGATCCTAACCCACTTTCTTTCAATTTCCCATCACATTTCATGAATTTCCAACCTAAAATCTAGGATTTTCATGGTAGAAATTTGGAGTTTTGATAGAATTAGGGATTTTTAAGAAATTGGGATTTAGACCTCAAATTAGGGTTAGATTTCAAAACTAATTACATAATGGGGCTGGGGTGAATGGATGAATGGATTTTGGTCCGATCCTCGAGTTTTGACCAAGCGGGCCCGGAATCGATTTTTGACTTTTTGGGGAAAATTTGTAAAATCAAAATTTATGCATTGTAATTGATTCCTTTAGAAATATTTGATATTATTGAGTTGATTGTGGAAAGATACGAGTGGTTTGGAGGTGGATACTAGAGGAAAAATGATAATTGAGCATTGAGTGGCTTGTGGAGCGAGGTAAGTGTTCAGTCTAACCTTAACTCGAGTGATTAGGAACCCTTGACTTATTTGATATATGAAATACATGTGAGTGGCGTATATGTGAAGTGACGAGTACTTATGCGCCGCCAATTTATCTGTTTTTGCATGTTTATTTCCGTTCTTCTCATATTGTGTCTTCCCATGTCGTAATTGTTACATGCTTTACTTGTATTTCCATGCTTTATTGCTACGTTCTAGACATTGCTTCTCTTTGTTGAAGTTATTAGTTATTTCGTAGCTTCGTTGTTTCCTATTATTTGTTTAAGCTGGTTATCGGTACTTTCATGGTATATCCTGGATTGGTCTCGCCGAGCAGTATTAGTTGGGTAAAGTTTCATACTGTACAAGCTTCCTAATTGTTTTGGTTTGAAGTTAATCCTTGTGAAGGGTAATGTTATTTGAATTGTGAAATTGTTGTACGTACTGAATAATTGACACTGAGATAAGGTGAGATCGGGTTGCGCGCCGCAACATGTGTAATAAGGGTGAATTGTGGTGTAATAGGGGTGAACTGTGAATGTGATTATTGTGCTATGGTGGGATCGGGTTTCATGCTGCAACACTTCCATTTATATTCTGTTATTTATGTTAATAAGAGGAAATAAGGGAAGAATATGATATGTACGGTGGGATCGGGTTGCACGCCACAACAACCTATATGTTTATACTTTTCCGTGACTGTGTTAGTTGTACGATAGCCTTAAATTGCACTTAAGGATTGGTAGTAGCTGAACACTAATGAAATGCTTTGATAACTGTATTCACTTCTTGCAAGTTACTGCTTTATTTTACTCTGTCTTCCTTTCTGTTTTTATTATATACTTTATGCAGCATATATTGTGATTGCCCCGCCATAGCCTCGTCACTCCTTCGTCGAGGTTAGGCTCGGTACTTACTAGTACATGGGGTGGGTTGTACTGATACTGCCCTCTGCACTTCCTATGCAGATTTTGGAGTTGGTTCAAGCTGATCGAGAGATTTGCTGTAGGATTTATTAGATAGGAGACCCAAGGTAGACCTGTCGGTGTCCGGAGGCCCTATCATCCCCTTCTATACCCCATACTTTACTATTTTCTTTATTTCACAAACAGTTGTATTTTCTTTCACACTAATACTTGTAGTGAAATCTTATAATGTTCATGAATTGTGACTCCGGATTTTGGGTAGTAACAATATATAATCAAAGTTGTTATTTATTTTCTTCCGCATTCATTTCGACTTGTTATAGCTTGCTTATTGTTAATCACTGAAATGTAAA